TTTATAAAACAAATTATTCTTTTTACTTCAGAAAAATTAATTACACAGTTTAAGATTGTAGGAACTCTTACGTAAAAACAATGACAAAGAATTGAAATTTTAAAAGTTACTAGATGTTACATTAATAAAACATCCCCTTAAATCAATCAGTACTATTCGATAGAGCTCTCAATTATTGATTGATGTCAAACATGAAATGATATTAAAATACTAATTGTACATTGATACCCGATTAATTGATTAGCACTATTGTATGGACCAGCGGTTGCATAAGTAGAATCGAATTAGTGCATCCCATTAAGCAGGTAAATGTACCAGTTAGACAGATAACGAGTGCCTTAACACCTGTGCAAGCCGTGGAATATTTCCGTCGACGTGATCCACGTGAACCGATCGCAAACACAGGCACGAGAGAGAGACAGTACGTATATTTCGGTTGCTTGACTCATCCGGCTCCGTAACGCTATTTAAAAACAGCGTACTTACACAAGCGTCAATGTATCGAATCCAGCGTATTTACCTTACCACGAATTAATTCCTTGGGACGATTTTAAATCGCTCGCGCCTGCCAACGTCCGCTTTTGATGTCATTAAACATTGTCTCCTCGCGTTAGACGAGATTTCCCACTCTAATAGCAATATTAATGGTTCTATAATCGTTTTGGGACGAGGCTTCTAATGGGATTATTGATGAATGAAACAGTTTGAACAAAAGTGAAAATGTATGTATGTACTCAAACGTTTTTATCAAATATGTTTACTATTTCATTACGTGCATTGAATCTGTTTATAAACTATGAGTTCGTTAATCTGTGGTATCTCGCGAAACTTTCCTCGGTGCGTTTCACTCTCTCGCAAATTGACAGAGTTAACGAGCAGATACGGCGCGGGTGCAAACACTGTTTTATCTCGATTCGTGGAAGTGCTTGGCACTAAGGAAGCCCGGGATTTGTTAAGTCATAGAGAATGATCTCCCTGACTCACGATTATTAACCCACTCAGATTAGCGTTCGTTCAAACACTTTGAACAGTTATTTACAACGTTCAGTTCGTAGTGTTTATACATTTACACCTAACTCATTGGATTTTAGTTCGATATGAACGTAGACTCTCTTGATAGAGTAAGTAGGCCCGAAATCTAACGAGTTGAGTATACGTATGTGTATGTATACGTATGTACTGTTTTCGAAATTTGGATAAAAAGTTCTGTTATGTGTAACGACGGTTGGGAATATTTTAGTATTCGACAAAGATCGGTCGAGTAACCTTTGTCACTTTTTTCCCCGAGTATTCGTTTCTTCCAACCCTAAATAGCCGCAGATTTCCCACTCCCCTCCATCCGGTGAACTTCATAAACACTCGCAACCATTAAAATCTCCGCAGAAGCCTCGTGACGTTTGACGTGAGACGACCCTTTTCTGATTCACAGCGAGTGGCTCACATCTCGAAGTAACTACGAACGACAGCGTCCAGCAGCAACAACAACCGTCAACAGGATCGTCAACAATGTCGACGCTCGTGTGCTGCGAGCCAGTCACGGCCGGCCGTTCCCGGGACAATCTCAAACTGGTGTTGAACCGCAGTTTGAGCGAGCCAGGGCCACCGAACGGTGCCTTCTTATCGTCACCGACGTCGACGTCGGTATCGCTGAGTTCGTCGACGAGCAGCGGCGTGGACAGCTGCATCGCGAGCGACGGTACCGAGTGCAGCCTGAACGCCAGCGGTAGCAGCATCAGCTCCAGCAGCGGGACCGACTGCGACCTCCCGTTGGCCGACGTCCACCGTCACTATCTACATCATCACCACCATTTCCATCAGTTGTCCGCGTCGAAACGCTGCAAGCTGGAGACCGCAAGCCTCCCGACGAGCCCATGCTCCGAGAACAACACCCTCCAAAAGCAGTTGGTGCTACAACGAACGAAAACCGTCACTCCCGACGAGCTGGCCGACCGTCTCCTAGGCCGCGACCCCGCCGTTGTGCTACTAGACTGTCGCCCCTTCATCTTGTACAACGTGAACCACGTCAGGGGTTCGATCAACGTCAACTGCTCGGATCGGTTCAACCGGAGACGGTTGCAACTGGGAAAAGCAAGCCTGGCTGATCTGGCGACTACTAGAGAAGGCAAGGAACTTTTGCGTAGAAGACACTACAGGGAAGTGGTCGTGTACGATGACTGCACAGACGACGTGGACCGACTTCCGGTTCAGCATCCCCTGTTTCTAGTGTTGGTCGCACTGCTGGAAGACAACAGGGAGCCCGCTCTTCTCCTGGGTGAGTACTTTTTATACATATTTATAATAAATGAAAGACTCGGTGAGAAAATCTTTTCAATCGATAGTGAAAAATGATAGCTCGCTTTGTACTAGACTGGTTAGTTTCTAATGCTATAACTGACTCAATTAAAAATTGATCTAAACGCTGTAATTGTTTTCAAACACTGATTAACTGTCGCTTATTGGACAGGTAATGTGAATATTCTTTTTTAACTCGTGGTTTAAAAAAACTCACCGCGTTATATTCATTGTTTGTTGTTTATGTAAGATCACGTGGAGCGGCTGACTTTCGGAAATAACGATGATGCGCGCTCGTCGTCGCGTCGTCGCCGCTTCTGCGCGTTTCCTATACACCGCGAAACGCCAAATCATCGTGGCTCTGTCTGCGCGAATTTACGATTTTCGTTAATACTTCTTTCAACCAAGTTGAACCTCACTCAACAATCTAACCAGTATCATAAAGACGTTTGTCTAAGAATTATCACCGGCTCGAATTTATTTAATAACAATTCAAACGTATGACACATAGAATTTATTCAATCCCATTAAGATATGCTTAATGTGTTAAGTGCGTGAAAATCATGTAGAATTGAGAAATTATGATTACACTGCGTGATATACAATCGCGTGGAAATGAATGGAAATCGCGGATGGGAAACGTGGGTGGGAAAAGAGCACATATTATACCGAGTAACAGTACTCTGTACTCTACTAAACGCGTTTTCTCGTTAAGAGATACATCGATACGTGCTCGTTTTACGGAATGCGACCGCCGGCACCGTCTCTACGTCTGATTCACGACGATCCATTGACGGGGACGTCGCGTCGCCTTGCGTTACGTTGCGCCGAGCATTCCTCGACGATCCTGTCGTTGAACCTCCTCCGCAGATTCCAACTAATTCTATTTCGTTGATCGACTGACGATTTTTATAGGAAATTAGTATATATTTTTATTTCAACGCAATTAAATAACATTGGAGGCAGAATTTATTATCTGATATAAAACAGTCAATCTGAATCGAGCTTTTCACTTCTCATGGTACTCGAGATCTTCGGTCTTATCGTTACTTGAGCAATAAAATATCAGTTAGTGATATTCGTAATGGTCCGATGATCTGGCATATTTTTCAATGCGATCGTGTTAACACAGCAAATCTATGGACCAAGTAATCGCCGGAGACTACGCGCGATAGCGAGCGCAGCAAACATAATTCTAGTAAATTGCAACGGGCCAGGGAATGTGCGTCAGTGACGCGCGCGCGTCATGAATGAAGCCCTGATTCCGTAAAATTTTCCATTGTTAGTTTCGTTTATAGCTAACGTGCATCGCGTGCGTCGTTCTCTGCGATAGCGAAACGAGCCGCGCGGCAAATGAAACGAGTAACGGCTCGATGTACCATAAATTAGCAATAAAAATTAAAATTGATAATGGAGGAACAAAGTTTAAAACCGCGAGTGAACATAACGCGCGGTTTTATGCGTTTATAAAAAAGTTAAACGTCTATGCGACATGAATGTTGAACTTAAGGTAATAAAAATAATGGGAAACATTGATAGCCGCGTATTGCAATGTTTAAACGATCATCTGAATTTGAAATCGTGTGTGTTTTAGCATGCATAAAAATTTGCGGCCTAGCGATAAGTATTTCCTCAGCATTTATAATTAGTACAGAAGCAGAAAGTCAAGTCGATCGCGAAAGCCAGCTGTCGCGGCAGAAATTTTCGCAACTCCACCTGTCCAGGTGGTGAAATGTCGTCGCCGGAGGAGGGAGATGCCAAGGAGGAGACTTCCTCCTCGTGCGGTTCGTAAACGGAATCAGGGACGGTGAGGCCCGGTGGCATAGTGTAGTGCGCAAATTCTGCCCGACTATTCGCGGCGTCATCTCCGACGTGACTCATTCCTATGAATAGATCCCCACCTTTTGCCCGTGTGTATCGCCCGGTGACTTCGACCCGTTCTCCCTCTCTCTCTCTCTCTCTCTCTCTCTCTCTCTCTCTCTCTTTCTCTCCCACTCCGCCGCCTTCTCGTTTTCTTTCTCTGTTTTGCTCGCCTTTTTTCATGCTTATATTTATTTTTTACAACGATTTTTATATGTTGTTTCCGTTTTCGTGTCATATCGAAGGGAATCTGCCTATTAAAGATAGACTCATTTTTATTATCAAATAATAAAGCGTCTTTTAATAAAATAAATAATCTGTCGTTTGACGTGCCAGTTTATCTGATAACGTGAGAGTGAACAGTCTCTCATAAATTACGTGAAGCCTGTGCTCTAATTTGAAAGTGGAGATGACTTACATTCGCACGATATGTTCAATTACGACTGTCAATCATGCTCGAACAGCGAGTCTGAGCGATCTACTTNTTTCTTTCTCTGTTTTGCTCGCCTTTTTTCATGCTTATATTTATTTTTTGCAACGATTTTTATATGTTGTTTCCGTTTTCGTGTCATATCGAAGGGAATCTGCCTATTAAAGATAGACTCATTTTTATTATCAAATAATAAAGCGTCTTTTAATAAAATAAATAATCTGTCGTTTGACGTGCCAGTTTATCTGATAACGTGAGAGTGAACAGTCTCTCATAAATTACGTGAAGCCTGTGCTCTAATTTGAAAGTGGAGATGACTTACATTCGCACGATATGTTCAATTACGACTGTCAATCATGCTCGAACAGCGAGTCTGAGCGATCTACTTATCCCATCGCTAAAATCAATTTCAGATCAAAGAGATTCTTTTCTTTCGCTTATTAGTCATCGTCGATATTTTTGGAGCGACTCAATTTTTTTAGTCGCCGTCGCCGCCGAGGAACGTTCTTCTTGCGTAGGTGGGCTACGCGAGAATTTTTCAGAAAAAAAAAAGGGAACGCGTTACATAATTAAGTCATTATACGGCGTTTCGATGGCCGACATAATGGAATCGCGTCGCTTATCGAAAACTCGTTTATCATTTCGCCTTCTAGAGGCCTTCGCGAACACGCGCCAAGCTGCTACGTACGTGCTTGCATGTACAGGGTGACTCAATAAGAAATACTACGTACAGCGACTTGTTGTTCAGTGATTCTATCAAACATTCTGTGTGCGACAGAAATCATTAAATGAACGTGTCCTTGATGACTAGATTGCGTTTATAAAAGAAACAAAAATGGAATGCGGGTGATGCATAAAACTGTGTAAAATGTCAATCAATAAGAATTATCTAACAGTTATTAATTTCATGGCCTGGCAGAAATACATTTTACATGAATACACTGTGAGAAATAAAATATTTCTAATTTATTTAAAAAACCGGATTTCATGGAATTCATGTATTTATTGGAATTACTATATTAATT